TTATTTATTTGTTTTGATTTTGGAGTGTAAAACCTAGATATTCTTGACAGGTTTTGTGAAATTAACCCATTTTATGGCCAAAATCCTGCATGTTTCTGTCTCTCCTCCTGTGCAGTAAAGAAGACTTTCATTGGTCAGAATAAGTCTATCTGGGCTCCTCTGGAGTTGATGGAGAAACTGTGCCCTGAGTCAGCTGACATTGCCACCAGTGTGCGGGATATGCCTGGAATCAAGTAGGTTCCCATCACAGGCGTTTGTCTTGAATATAATATCCTGTCTGAAACCGTGTAATAGGAGAGCGTGAGGTTCATGAGGTTCTGTGTTGTTTCAGGACAGGCCTCGGGCGAGCTCGAGCGTGGCTTCATCTGGCTCTAATGCAGAAAAAAATCGCAGACTACATGAAAGTGCTAATAAATAGAAGAGACCTTCTTGGGTAAGAGCAGTTAAATTCCAATGATCTTTAATATTTAGACTATTCTACATAATTTGTGTAATATCATACAAAGTACAGTATTGTAGTGCTATTCAGTTCTGGGCTTCCCAATGTAAATTCATGTTTTTTTTTCTGTCTCAGGGAGTTTTATGACCCTGGGGCTCTTATAATGGAGGAGGAGGGGGCTGTGATAGTAGGGATGCTGGTGGGTCTGAATGTGATCGATGCCAATCTGTGTGTGAAAGGAGAGGATCTGGATTCCCAGGTGAAACATATAGCCGTCCAAACCATGTTATCAGATGTACTCTTTAACTCTGATGCTAAACACTGTGTTCTTGTTTCTGCAGGTGGGCGTCATTGACTTTTCAATGTATCTAAAGGATCCGCAAGCCACTGAGAACACACAGGAGTGAGTGTGTGATCACTTAGCAAAGATGAAACATTAAATCCCTAATTACATGGCAAGAACTAGTTTAGTAATTTTGACTCTTTCTAATTCTTTAACTGCTAACAGTGATTCAAAAATGACAGCCATTCTTGACCAGAAGCACTACATAGAAGAACTGAACCGGCATCTGAGCTGCACAGTGACGGATCTTCAGGCCAAGATGGACTCACTGGAGAAGACCAACAGCAAACTCATTGAGGAGGTGGAGATATTAGATTGATTGTTTTTTTTTAATGGGCTTTATTATGAACTTATATTTAGCATATTGTAATTTCTTGGTTCTAAATTGTGCACATTATTAAATACAGGATTAACATGAAAAAATACATTTATTTGATGTCTTTTGTACAGCTTACAGCAGCCACAGACAGAATCAACGCTCTGCGCGAAGAGCAGGAACAACTTAAACAGGAAAATGCAAATATTCTCCAATCTAGTCAGAGGAAAGAGGAGGTGAGAATTGCAATAGAAATGTTATGTTATGAGCACAATCAATCAGTATGAAATCATTTAGAAAAATCAGCATCTATTCACTGCAAAAGTCGCTAGAAAAAGTTTGGAACAGACCCTAAAAATGGCCAAATGTAGGCCTGTCTGTTGGTTTATTACTAATAAATTAATCCATGCAGTATTTTGTCATTCCAAAAGACAGTTTTATTTACTAAGAACGTTTTATTTACTCACTTTGGATTGTTGTTTAGGTGACTCTACAAGACAGCCAGGTTGAGCTAGAAACATATCGACAGACACGGCAGGGTTTGGATGAAATGTACAGTGTAGTTTGGAAGCAATACAAGGAGGAGAAACGAATCCGGCAGGTAAGAATAAAATAATTCAGCTCTAAATGTAAAATCATTTTCGAATTTGAGTCTGTATTGTATTGCATAGTATTAAAGGAATAGTTCAGCCAAAAAAAGAAAATATACTCACCCTCATGTTGTTTCTTTTTTCTGAGATATTTTGAAGAATGTGGGTAACCAAACAGTTGCTGGTTCCCAATTACTTTCATAGTATGGGGAAAAAAATACAATGAACGTCAGTGGGGTCTAAAAACTGTTTGGTTACCTTCATTCTTCAAAATATCTTTTATGTTCAACAGAAGACAGAAACTCATATAGGTTTAATAAATGATGACAGAATTTTCATCCCTTTAATGCATTAATGTAACTGTAATATTTTATGGAGCCAAAGTATCTAAATAAACTGTTTGGCAAATCAGGAGCTGCAAAAGGAGCTGGAGCTGCAGATCAGCCTGAAGCAGGAAATGGAAGTTGCCATGAAACTCCTGGAAAAGGACACGCATGAGAAACAAGACACGCTGGTCGCGCTTCGACAACAACTCGACCAAGTCAAGAATCTCAACTTACAGATGTTCAACAAAGCACAGGTGTTGCAGCTTATTGTCTGAACAAAATGTTATTGGAATAGTAACATTTACCTGTTACCAATTGAAACTTAAGTCTTGTCGTTTAACCTATAAGGAGTCTGACCGAGTGGCCCAGAAAAAAGTGGAGGACATGCAAGAGCTGGAAGAGAAGATGATTCAGATGGAAGCAGCCATGAAGGAACTAGAGCAGAGGTGCCAGGACATTTTTAAGGAATAATTCACTCAAAATAATTCATCATTTACCCACCCATATGATGTTCCAAACCTAATGACTTTGTTTCCCTTATGATCTTTGGAAGAATGTAGGTGAAACAAGTCATACAGGTTTGAAACAACATGAAGATCACAGATATGTATGAAATGATATGTGTGTAGTTTTTCTAGACCTGATAAAGATGAGTACTTGCTCCTTAGGCTTCAAAATTCAGAAAATGTGCGCAAGAACACGGATGAAAGCCAGAATGAGCTGAGATCGGAGATGAAAGGAAAAGTGAACGCTCTGCAGAAGCGTCTCGCTGACCTCGACACACTCCGGTAGTGTAAATCAAGCTTCGAGAAATGCGCCAACTTTGTTGTCATAGATACCTTGAAGGGATAGCTCATCCAAAAATAAATTTTTTTGTAATTTCTCACATGCGCTTAAGTTGTTCCAAACCTGTATGCATTTCTTTCAGCTGATGAACACACAAAAAAAGATATTTTGATGAATGTTGGTAACCAGTTGACTTCCATAGTATGGAAGAAAAAAAATACTATACGTCAACTGTTTGGTTATCAATATTCTCTTGTGTGTTCAGCAAAAGAAAGAAACTCATACAGGTTTGGAACAAGTAGAGGGTGCATAAATAATGATGGGTGAATTATCCCTTTAAATTTAAACCAGCTGTAAAATATTTGTTTTGAATTTTTCATTTACTGTTACAATCACTTTAGAAATCTCATCCCGCATTACAGAACAATTTTAAAATAAATTTGATTTAATATATTTTATTTCAGTTCATGTTTTTTTTTTTATTAAATACATTTATTTTAATTTATTATTTTATTTTATTTATTCCCCCAATTGTTTTTGTTCTCTAAATATGTATTTTTTGTTGAAATGTAAGTTAAAAAATAATTAAATAAAAAAGGATGTGGTGAAAACCTAATTTTTTATTTTTTTAAAGGGGTCATAATTTCACCCCACTTTTTAGGTTCAATTGTTGTTTCTGTTCTCCTTTCAGGGCAGGCCTGGAGTCAGAGCTCAGCACAGAGAAGGAGCAGCGGCAGAACCTACAGAGGGAGCTACACAGAGAACAGGACAACAGCACAGAGCTGCGCACACAACTGCAGCAGCTGCAGGGCCTGCAGACGGTCAGATACACTGCTGCTTCAGCCATAAAACTAACCAGTACAAGTCAATAAAGACTTTAAATCATACAAAATCAAAGCAAGAGCAAAGTTTTTGTATTATGGTGTTAATCAATTATGACACTCTGCCTTTGTTTCCACAGGAGCTTCTTGATCTTCGACAGGAGAAGAAACAGCTCCAGCAGCTGTGTGAGGAGCAGGAACAGGCTCTACAGGACATGGGCCTTCATCTCAGCCAGTAAGACAACTCCACTCATATTTTTGGATAATGACAGTTGTCTTCTGTAGAGCTGCTTTATAGCCGAATCGAATTTGTGTCATAATTGGTGAACTCTGCAACAGTGATAGTCTTTTTGAACTGAATTGAATCAAAGCTGAACTGACTTTAGCTGAATGATGCTTTTGTCATTTTAGAGCTGCTTTACAGCTGAGTGTTCATTTGCAGCATGCTAAATGTCTTGAACTAAAATCCTGCTTTCAGATCCAAACTCAAGATGGAGGACTTCAAAGAGGTCAACAAAGCCTTGAAGGTAAAAGAGCTTCATGAGGTAACCTTTATTGTGTCCATTTGCACATCAAAGCTAAAGATCCCTTCTTAGTATTGCTTTCCAAGTATTCCTGTTTTTTTTTTACTTTGCTGTGTAACTTTTTGTACACTTTACTGATGTGACTTACTTTTGTAAAATTGTCTTTACCGTCACTTTTAATCATTTTAATGCATCCTTAATAAAGGTATTAATTTTTTTTCCAATATTTTAAGTAACAAGTAACGTTCAGTAGTCCAATAAATTTGTTTTTTGACAATTGTCTTATCAAGGGTCATGCCTGGCTAAAAGACGATGAAGCTACACAGTGCAAGCAGTGCCAAAAAGAATTCTCAATCTCTCGGAGAAAGGTGAGTGATGCTCCACTCTGTCACTACAGCTCAGTCTTTGGCATGTAACTCAACTCTTGTTTTTTTCTGTTTGAAGCACCATTGCAGGAACTGTGGAGACATCTACTGCAACAGTTGCTCCAGTAATGAGCTGGCTCTGCCCTCGTTCCCCAGACCTGTCCGCGTGTGTGACATCTGCCATTCCCTACTGCTCCAGAGAAGCTCCATCGGCTCCTCCTGACAGCATTCAACATCTCTGCTGATCGTGTGTGTGTGTGTGTGTGAGAAATTACATGCCAGCTGTATTCATCAAACTCAATCTGTTTTTAACACTTATGCATTAATTACTTGGCTTCCGTTTGACTAAATCCTTTGATTGTTGCAAAACCATATGGAAAGTTTTTTTTTGACAGAAAGACGCAATTTTAATGCATCCTTAATAAAGGTATTAATTTTTTTTCCAATATTTTAAGTAACAAGTAACGTTCAGTATTCCAATAAATTTGTTTTTTGACAATTGTCTTATCAAGGGTCATGCCTGGCTAAAAGACGATGAAGCTACACAGTGCAAGCAGTGCCAAAAAGAATTCTCAATCTCTCGGAGAAAGGTGAGTGATGCTCCACTCTGTCACTACAGCTCAGTCTTTGGCATGTAACTCAACTCTTGTTTTTTTCTGTTTGAAGCACCATTGCAGGAACTGTGGAGACATCTACTGCAACAGTTGCTCCAGTAATGAGCTGGCTCTGCCCTCGTTCCCCAGACCTGTCCGCGTGTGTGACATCTGCCATTCCCTACTGCTCCAGAGAAGCTCCATCGGCTCCTCCTGACAGCATTCAACATCTCTGCTGATCGTGTGTGTGTGTGTGTGAGAAATTACATGCCAGCTTTATTCATCAAACTCAATCTGTTTTTAACACTTATGCATTAATTACTTGGCTTCCGTTTGACTAAATCCTTTGATTGTTGCAAAACCATATGCAAAGTTTTTTTTTGACAGAAAGACGCAAGGATAATTAGAAACTAACATTAATCTGATTGTATTTATAATGATAGTCTCCATTTTAGGGAGAGCACTAACATATACAAGCCTTTCATGTGTTCACCAAGAGTGGATGCAGAGGATTCATATTTCGATACGCTTCGTGCTTTTTAGTATCCTCTTATCAAAATAGGACAGAATTGATTTTGTAATGATTTTGTAAATTCTGCTGTGTTCAATTTTATTTTTTAAAGGAGACATGGAATCACTAATTTTCACTATTTTTTAAGTGTATGTGCTTGTGCTATAAATATTTAATCGGTGCATGTTATACAAAAAAAATATACCACTATCAAAGGTCAAAAGTTGGGACCAGTTCCTGTATGAAGTTAGTAGATCTGCAAATTGTTCAACAAAATGTGTAAATCATTCATAAAACCATTCTTACAGAAATAGAATTGAATAACGATGGTTTTATGAACACATTTGTTCTGCTAATATCATGAATGAGGCCCAAAGTCTGTAAATTATTTTTCATTGTCCAAAGGCAAGACCACATTTATAGTATGCAAGACTAAAGAGCAGATGGATTGTATTTTCTCCAACTTTTGTTGCTCATACCAGTCAAAACAAATGTTTTTACAAAATTTTTAAGGCTCTCGGAATACAAAATGTCTGTTTTAGATTGTACGAGTGTCCTGTGTTGTACCCTCTTTTGTCTCCTGTTCGGTTCATAAAGCTGTAATGAAGTTTCTGAAGATTTTATAGAATTGTGTACGGTTTAATAAACACTGCCTCAAATTAGTATTAATCCATCTGTGAAGCCATGAGGACATTTGTCCACTACACTGAAATCACAGGTGATACACTGCATGGGGAAAAAAAGCAAATGCAAACAGTAACATGCATCTAAATGAAACCCGTCCATGTCCCACCATGCTTAAGTTATACAAAAATCTTTTTTTTTTTTTCTAAACTTAAACACTCTTTTTAAACGATCGGCCTGGAGTAAGCATTACGTACATGCAAAACACCTTTGCAGGAGCCAAAAGTTTAAGATATGATGCTACAATCACTGACAGAGTGAAACCTCCGTGTGCAAAGACGTCACGCTGTATGAAAGGCTTTGATAAAGTTGGCCTAAAGAGGAAACAAATCACCTCTTTAATACTCTACTGTAAAAACAGATTTACAGGCACCTCTCCAGTGTGATACATGGGCTGTCACATTTCAGCAAATAAAGTTTCTCTCTAACATAAATTACTACCTCTAGTCAGGATTTGTTTTCAACCATGTCAAAAGGGAAAAAGAAGTTCAGCTCCAAACACAACTTGGAAGGGAGCAAGGAACAAAGAACAAACAAATGAAAGAGGACACTGTTCAAATGAAGGTTATAAAGCAGCTATGAAAGGCCTGGAGGCTACATCCCCCAGCCTCCCCCCATGCCGCTGTTGAGGCCGTTCATTCCCATGGACCCGCGGCTCCCTCCACCGTAGTAACTGCTCCCCATTCCGCCCTGATTACCTGACAGGAGAAAGAAATACACATTTTAGGACCAGGGAGTTCTCAGTGCGGAAATAATCGCCATTTATACTATGACTCTCAAGGCCTGGTCACATGACAAGTGATGCAGGTTTGTCATGGAAGGGTGATTTACATGGTTATTATAGTTGACTACACAATTAAAACCATTACAAAAACATTTGTCAATTGAAATACATTTCAGCTAGTTGCCAAGTTTTCATTTTAATGTAATTTAACAATGTAATAAAATAAAAAACTACAAAATGACAAAAACTAAATTACTAACACTTTGAAATAAAATGAAAACAAAATACACAAATAAAACAATCAAATTATTAATAATTATACCTCAATACTATTATGCGACATTTTTAAAATTCTACATGAAAAGCAACTAGATAAAGTTTGTAGACAAACTTTGCTGTTGGCTTGAAAAAGCCTAGCCAAAAAGTTTGAAGTAATTTTATAAGCTTGAAGTTTAAAGGGTTTCAGTTAGTTTGAAATACTTAAGTTTTAAAAGCTAAAAACAGCTGATTTACCAAAAAAAGTTAAAAACTAAAACCAGCTGATTTAACAAAAAAAAAGTTAAAAACTAAAGAGTTAAATAGGTTAAAACGCTAAACCCAGTTCATTTAGACAAATTAAGATAATTAGAAAAAAAAAAAAAAACCCAGCTAAAACCAGCAGATTTAGCAACCAAAAAAAATTTTTTTAATTAAAAAAAGCTAAGCAAACAACTTAAACCAGTTAATTTAGCAAACAAAAGCAATAAGCGGTATCATAAGAGATATAGGTCATCGTTAGCTAACTATGGTCGCAAGTTCCATTAAACTCTATTGGTAACAACAGAACTTGGTTTAGTGTTTGTTTTTACACAATGGCATAACCTATGTAACGATACATCAGGTGAATTGTTTGGCAATCAATAACTGCACTTTAGTTTAAATGGTCAGATGGGGTCAAAGGTGAAACCATTTAAACTTTGGGTGTAAACATTACATCATTTGATGTGCATGCAATCCAGTGTCAGAGATAATGCTGGTTTGATGATTGGGAGACTTTGATGGAGGTCATGTGATAGGGCCTTGAGCAATGCGTCAAATTCTAACCCACTTGGACCCCTAAAAGATTGCACCAGCTTAAAGAACCCTCTGGATGGTCTATATGGAACCCAATTATAAATCCCAAAATACTAAGCCTTAACCAGCAACATGCATCAATAAACCAGCACAATGCAATCAATAAAAACAAAAGCATTTTTTTTTAAATTATATATCCTGTGTACAAATTCTGCATGTCCTAATTCAGAGACTGCATCTTTCGACGGCAGCATTCCTAAGACGTCAATGTGGCGCGATAAAGGCTAAATGCATTAAATGGAGCCTCAAAATGAGTCCTTCATTTCCCGGACCATGAGTGCTGCAACAGATGAATCCTTCACAGTCCAAACTATCCCAAGATTCACTGTGCACCAGTAATAAGAGGACTTTTATTGAGAAAAAGCGGAATTGTACTTTTAAATGTAGTATTGGGTTTCAATTTACTCCGATATTTAACTTATCAATATAAGAGTCAAAAAGTCTAGTACAAACTTTACTGCCACTCATCAACAGCAGCTGTCACAGTTTCTATGCAACAACAGCAATCCACCATTAGCGAGACCATCCCATTTAAACAATACTTGGTTTGGCCTTCATAGACTTCAAAGAATGCAGCCCCTGTATTGGGACACAGATGATGTCATTTATAATGATCAAATTAAATACCTGTTTTGGTTAGTAAGCTAACCATCACCATAATTTACGCATTTTACATGCAACCTTTACTGAATTGTGCTCTCTGTTAAATATGTGAACATTATGATATTGAAAGGGGCACATTTATTCAACAGAAAGATACTATGTAGTCAATGTAAAATCCAGACAAACTTTATTAAAATTATATTATTGGCATTGAAGTACTGTTTAATTGTGATTGTATTTACCTGATCAGCTACAACAGGATAACACGAAAGGCTTTTTAATCAGGCATTACAAACAGCTACCCCTAGGGGTCCAAGGGCGATAGGATTTGGCAGGGAACCGGCTAGCAGAGCTACGGAAGAGCTGACACTCACTGTAGTCACTGTAGCCCCCCATGCCACTCTGATTACCATAACCTCCGCTGTAGCCAGAGCCCATCTGTTGGCTGCTGTGTCCGTATGATGACTGGTTTCCTGCAGAGCGACAATTATGCATTTATGATAGCTGCTCAGATAGAGTTACTAATGTCTGAAGGAGAGGTGAAGAAGGGGTCTTACCCATACCGCCCATCATTTGGCTACCGTATCCTCCACTTCCGCCCCCTGACGTGGAGTTTAGGAACAGCTCCACATAACGGTGTTCTGCATGAGAATAAAGACCCATTCACACCAAGAACGATTACAAAATGTATTTAGCATCCACCCCAACAGAAGATAACATTCTGTGTATTATAAGCATATGCCGCAGTTTTGTTGTCTGCCGGTTTATATGCTAAGTGGATTCTGATTGGCTATCAATGTTTTTGTCATTCATCAGCTTGAAAAGTTGCTGTCAGTTAAGCCTAAAGTATATTTTAGTTTTTACACGTCCGCGAGGTTCAGCGTGCAGTGCGTGACGCAAATTCTAATCATCAGAATAGTACGCGCACCGTCTGATTTTTGTAACCGCGCATACTTTGCGCATTGATTGGTTTTGCACTAATCAGTTGTTCCACAAGGTGGCAGCACTGGCCCAGGCCATTGTTTTACAGTAGAAAATTAAAATAAAGAGACAGAACAACAACAAAATATCGGAGAGTGCAACAACAATAGACAGCCGCACTGACAAGCGCTTGTGTCAGGGGGTTATGAGAGAGTTTCAACTTTAGTTGAAAAGAGTACAAAGACATTTTTATCGGACATAACTTCTAGAAAAAAACAACAGATGCTGGACACAGATGAAGCTCTCCATAGTGCATGTGTCGACTGCCTGCGTTCGCTCACACTATCAAATGGAGGATACTTTGGATACATACACTAGCGAACACGTACAAAAACAAAGTATACTTTGGGCTTTAGGCTCCAGAATATCATCTATCATAACCAAAGTTTTATTAAGGTGTTCAGTTTCCTTCAATAGAAGAATGCAAACATTCAAGACCCATTAATAGGACTGAATTTATACGTATGGTTCACTCAAAAACAAATTCTCTCATCATTTACTCAATCTCAAGTAGTTCCAAACCTTTATGAATTTCTTCCATTTGCTGACACAGAAGATATTTTAAAGGATGTGGGTAAACAAACAGCAGACTTTTCATTTTTGGGTGAACTATCCCTTTATTGAAAATCATTCAGTTTTACTTCTGTTTCCTCTCCTAACACTTACGCATATTGGCTTTGTCCTTCGACATGGCTGCCACGGCGTCCTCATGTGTGGCAAATTCTACATCCGCCTCACCCGTTACTCTTCCATCAGGGCCGATCTCCAGGTGAACACGCACTGGGTTCAGTGGAGAGAAGAACTAGAGAAGAAAACATGGAGAAAGACAGTGAATAGGACATGCATGTAATCAAATAAACGCTTTGTATTAACAGATACTTGAAATAAACACATGTGTGTATAAGGACTCACATTGTATATGTCAGTTTCAGTGGCTCTGTATGGAAGGCCTCTCATGTGCACACAATGTCCCGTTGTGCTCTGAAAGGAGGAGCTGCCGTCTCCATAACGACCATCTTTGAGGCAAATAAGAGCAAGAACAAGTTAAGAAAAAAAATATTCAAGCCTTTCGCAGTCAGTTTTACTTAACTGTGCACAAGTATCTTGACAGGAAGCTGTAGAAACAGGGCAAGACTCAAAGATTTATCTCAGAGTAAAAGCAAAGCTATTCCTTTATTCTTCATTTAGCAGAGGCTTTCTTATCTAAAGTGACAAAACAGTTTATTACAAGGAAAGTTCCTTGAAATCATATCAGGTTTGAAACTACAACCATTCAGTTAGCAGTCCAAACCTGCAACTATTTTTTTGGAACTACTTCAACCGAGTGCCATAGTGTCTACATTTTTATCATCTGTCAATATGGGGTGCTGTGTGTACATTAATGAGGAAAAAAAAATAACAAATGATTTTAGCAAATGGCTGCAATATAACAAAGAGTGAAAAATTTAAGGGGGTCTGAATACTTTCCGTACCCACTGTATATGCACATTACCATTCAAATAAATTTTCTTTTAGTTTTTAAAAATGATACTTTAATTTAGCAAGGATGCATTAAATCAAAAGTGACAGCAAATGTTAAAAAAACATATCCACAAAAAAAAAATCTGGGTTAATCAAGATTTTTTTGAAT